TATATATATATTGTATATATACACACACCTCCTTTAGTCGAACTGTTGTAAGTCAGAATTTAAAAAAAGAAATATAATGGATACTATGAGGGCTAGTCAATAAGTTTTTAGAAAAACATAATAAAACACATTTTTTTTGATTGATTTGATTCATTTTTATTTCTCAATATATCATAGTCTTCTTTCAGCTCGATACACTTGATCGAACGATTCTCCAAGCCGTCCGAATATGATTTGTCCAACTCTTCAAAATAAGCTTTTGTTGCGATGAGCTGCTCTCTGGTAGTGAATCTCTTTCCTCCGAACCATTTCTTCAAGTTTGGAAACAGAAAATAGTCGCAGGGGGCGAATATGCTGCAATTCGGGGGGGGGGGGGGGGAAGCAATTCGTAGCGGAATTCGTTGAATTTGGCGATCGGTGCTGGGCACGTGTGAATCCGTGCATCTTGATATAAGAGCATTTTCTTCTTCATCAAATGGGGACGTTTTTTCTTTAAAATATTGTTGAAATGGCCCAATAAAGCTGTGTAGTAATCGCCATTGATCATTTGCTCCGATGAAAGGTAATTGATATGAATTATATTGCGTGTATCTCAAAAAAAACTGTGACCATCATCTTTATCGGTCTTCGCCTTCTTCGAAGCTGGTTCACCCGGTGATCCATTATTTTGACTGTTCCTTCCTCTCGGTATGAAGTAATGGATCCATGTTTCGTCTACAGTAATGAATCGACGCAGAAATTCATCTGGATTATATTGAAACATCTCCAAACATTGTTTTAAAATCGTCACACGGTTGCGCTTATGGTACATAGTGAGCAAACGCAGCATCTTGCTAATAGCTTTTTCATACCCAATCATATTCGTGCAAAATTGAAATCATTGCCATGTGATATGCCTGTGGTTTCAACAAGTTTGCGCACTTTCACTCATCGATTAAAACAATATCGTGGATTTTATCGATGATTTCTGGCGTAGCAATCTCAATTGGACGTCCCGAACAAGATGCATCACATGTGGATGTACGATCACATTTAAATTCATTCACCCAATTATATACAATCGCAAAAGCTGGTGCAGATGTGCTATGAACACTATTCAACTTTGATTTCTTTCGGCATTAAACCTTTCATATGTAGATTTGATCACTGCACGAAACTCGTTTTTTTCCATTTTGCAAAAAATATAAATGTTGTTCGCTATAATCGTTTACAGAAATGAAACACGCGATGAATTCCGCTCAAAATTTGACAGTAATCAGCTGAAAGATGCTACTTGTCAAAAAATAATGTGACATTACATTGTGAATGCCCTCTGACAGATTTTCTAAGAACTTGTTGACTTGTCCTCGTATAATCTATCAAGCCATAATGCAGTCAGAGCAAAGAAACGTGTAATATCGACAATATCAACGTTTGAGTTATCTGATATTGTCCATATTAATAAAAAAGAGATAAATAGATAGACTCAGAAACAGTAATAAGTGAAAAGAGAAAAGACAAAAATATTAAGAAGGGAACAGGGAATGTATAATAGAGTTTCCGACAAAGATTCTGTAGCATTTTGTTTGTTAATCCCATGTTTCTGTCTTTTATATGGATCATTTTCGATATCAATCTCTTGTTATAAAAGAATTCAATGTCTAAAATTTCAACGTTATCTCACTTAAAATTATGATTATGATCAATTCGTGATGGTTAAAAATCACCGATAACGATTTAGACATTGTATTGATATCGGAAAAATGTTCATGTCTTTAATTGTTTTTTTGTTCCACGTAAATAACATCGCAATTATCACAAGGAATCTTATAGACTATATTTTGATTGCATAATCCAACCAATCCTTTTCTTTTTTTAATGAAATTTTTAAGCGAATGCGGAATAGAATAGGCTAATTTGCAGTTGAACATATCAACTATTGGAGAGAACTTTTCAGATATAGAATTCACATTCAGGTAAAAAATTGTGAAAATTTTCTCCTTAACTTTTTTATTAACAGTTCTATTGGTACTATCCATATAAAATTTAACTCTTTTATAGATAGAGGAAATGATGAATTGTAGTAGATTATTTAAAGTATTATATATATTGGATTGTCCTGAAAGTTCGTGCCGATGTTGAAGGAAAATTGAAACGCAGAAAATTTTAATTTAATAGGTGTACAACTTTGCTTCCGCCGTTTTTCTATAGATGGCTTTAGCGGTAAGTGGTGGTCGAAATAAATAGATCATAGACGTCATATAATAAACTTGGGCATCTGTCAACATAACTCCATAGAAACATTAGTCGATTTGTGTCTGCATCATAAAGTTATTCTCGATTGAAAATGTCAGTTTACGAGCCAAATTCTCGTCATTAGCGGGAGGTTTTAATTTTTTGCTTCAATATGAAGAAATCTGCGGCTGAGGCTCATCGAATGCTCTCAAATACTTATGGTGAGGCCGCTATTAATGAAAGAACGTGTCGTGAGTGGTTGCAACGCTTCAAGAACGGTGATTTTGACGTCCAAGGTCATGCTCTGTATTTGGTGGGACCAGCTCGGCGTAGTGTATTATGAACTGTTAAAACCGACTGAAACAATCACAGGCGATCGGTATCGAACGCAATTGATGCGTTTGAGCCGAGCATTGAAAGACAAACGGCCGCAATACAACGAGAGACACGATAAAGTGATTTTGCAGCATGACAATGCTCGACCCCATATTGCGAAAGTGGTCAAGACATACTTGGAAACGTTGAATGGGAAGTCCTACCCCACTCGCCGTATTCTCCAGACGTTGCTCCCTCTGACTATCACTTGTTTCGATCAATGGCACACGGCCTGGCTGACCAGCACTTCCGGTCTTATGAAGAAGTAAAAAATTGAATCGATTCGTGGATAGTCTCAAAAGATGACAGTTTTTTCGACGCGGGATTCGTATGCTACCCGAAAGATGGGAGAAAGTAGTGGCCAGCGATGGACAATACTTTGAATCATAAATGTATAACCAGTTTTTTACAATAAAGCCTCGAATTTTGGAAAAAAACGGCGGAAGCAAAGTTGCATACCTAATACTTCGAAACGTTATTCAACGTGCTCTCGTTTGTCAAGAAAAGATCATTTTCCCTTTTGTGATCATTGACTGCTCGCGACAAAACGAATCCGTCGAGAGTGGCACCGTGGATGTACGCATAGAATTTGACTGCAAAGAGAATGTGCCTGCAAATATCTCAGTGCCTACAGCATATCTCAGCATACACAATCGCGTGGTTTAGTATAATTCGTTAACCAACGTTGTGCACAAAATCACCTGCATTCTCCGACACGATATAAAATATACGATTCATCGAAATCGATCGCAGTCTCGAAAATTCGTTCAATCAACCGTACCAACGTTTGTGGATCTGCAAGAATTTATCATTGAAAAGAAACTTATCATGAAGGAAGGTATTGAGAAAAGGAGCCATTCTGTCTCACTACATTTTTATATAACCCATACCATGGAATTTCTTGACAAAATCCGAAAAGTATTGTGCTTCCTGAATGCTTATCACCATGGATTGCGATGGGAAGACGGGATGATCCCCTCAACATAGTGAAATGCCTGATTACGATGACAATAAGGCTCTCGTATACGTTAAAGAGTATGAAAAACGCGAATGGTTGATAGATATACTCGATAATGACGACTTGACCATTGAGACCCTGGATGCTATTTATGAAGATATAGATTCTTTGAATAATTTAGATGTTACTAATGTTATGCGAATATTATGTGTAAAATATGTTAAGAATTATGCATTACATAATGTATTTAAGATATACAATTGGTCGCAAAAAGGAATATATCAAGTTTTAAATAAAATATGAGATTTTTTTTTAAAAACGTTTTAAATTTCTTTCCCCTTTCCTTTCCTTGTAATTAAGAATTAGTTAATAATAGCTGTTGAGTAATAGTAATAGTAGTAGCAGTAGCGGTGGCGGTGTCGGTGGCGGTGGTAGTGGTGGTGATGGCGGTGGTGGCGGTGGTGGTGGCGGCGGTGGTAGTGATGGCGGTGGCGGTGGTGGCGGTGGTGGTGGCGGTGACGGTAGTGGTGGCGGCGGTGATGGCAATGGTGGCGATGGTGATGGTGGTAGTAGTAGTAGTGGTGGTAGTGGTGGTGGTGGTGGTGGTGGTGGTGGTGGTGGTGGTGGTGGTGGTAGTGGTAGTGGTAGTAGTAGTGATAGTAGTAGTGGTAACATACACCTCATATATGCACTAACACAATTCTTTAGAATCCGCCTATCTATTAGTAGAGTATATATGCCGATTCTTACCCACTATGTGTTAATGCGGCATGTATTGTGTGTGTGTGTGTGTGTGTGTGTGTGTGTGTGTGTGTGTGTGTGTGTGTGTGAGTGTGAGGAAGTCAAAGAGAGGGAAGTGCACACAGACATTATGATCCCGCGACGCTGGGGATGACGTCACAGAGAGGTGATGACGGGGGTGAGGAAAGCGCATCACTGGGGAAGGGAGTTTGTTCCTTTTCTCTCTCACTCGTTGCGGCCCTATAGTTATTATTCGCATTCTCTTTTCTTCACGTTGCACTCTCTTTTTCTTTTAAGATTTAATTTTGTTAAATAGATATGATATTTATGAAATATGACTTAGCAATAATAATAATATTTTTAATAATGTAATACAAAAATGCGCTTTCTTGTCAACTAATTTAATACTAATGAATCATACTATTGAACAGCTATTATAAATTGATTCTTAATTACAGGGAAAGGAGGTAAAGAAATCAAAAACATATTTAAAAAAAAAATTCATATATTATTTTTTAAACTTGATACATTTCTTTTTGACATTGCGACCATCAATTGTATATTTTAAATATATTTTGTAATTACGTACAATTCTTAACATGTTTTACACATCGTATAGTATTAGTTATATTTAGATTATTCAATGATTCTATATCATTATCAGCATCGAGTGTCTCAATGATCAAGTCGTCGCTATCGAATATATCAGCCAGCCATTTTTTACGTCCTTTAACATATACAAGAGATTATTATTATCATTTTCTTTCGCACCAATTACAGCCATCGTAATCAGGCATTTCACTAGTGGTATCATCCCGTCTTCCCATTGCAATCCATAGTAATAAGCACTCAGCCAGGAAGCATAATACTTTTCTGATTTTGTCAAGAAATTTCATGACATGAGGCATGTAAAAATGTAATGAGAGAGAATGACTCTGTTTTTCAGCACCTTCTTTTCCTTCATAAATTTCCAATAAATCCTTGCAGATCCATGAATATTGATATATTCATGGTGAACAATTTTTCGAGACTGTGCTCGAATGTAAAAAATCTTGGCTTTTTATCCATTATATTGAAAAGAGGGGAGAGGTTATTTTTCATTTTGGTGATGATAATTTATCTAATCTTGCGTACTACATTGGACGATGGACTGCATTCGATTACACGTCATGTATGATAAGACAATAGGTAGTAGTATTCGCTGATACATTTTCTTTGAATTCAAATTCTAATCGCACATCCACGGTATCACTCTTGACAGACTCATTTTGTCGCTAGCAGTCAATGATTACTAGAGGAAAGAGATTTCTAAAAGAATCTGAATAATGTTTCAATTCTTTCATTTGAAATTTGTAATAACATGTACGGAGGCGTACAAACATATCATACAAAATAGCGGTTCTGCGTTTGTCTAGATTTAGATTCTCATCATATGAGAAAAATTCAGAGTTCAGATAGAATTTCATGTTTGTTAATTTATATAATAATTGTCGAGATGAGTTTTATGTGTTGCCATGTTATTTTTTCTATTACTGCAGAGCAAAGATGACGTATCGCAGCTTCTCGAACTGAGTAGCCGTCTTGATAACTCAAGAATGCTTCGTTGTATTCGGCAATAGGAGGTACTTGTACAGATTCCATGAACGGAAACTCATCATAGATATCCGCTCTCCAAGGCACGCAGCATGGATAGTTTATTGATTTCATTTAACGTAACGTGAGGCATTTGCCACTGTATCTTGAATAATTCAAATTTCGGCTCTGTTGTTGGATCTCCCACAATGCAATTGTTGTCGTTGCGCTCTCGTACCAAAATTAATTCGTGACGCGCGTTAATCACTACGTGTTTGTAATTTTCGCAAAAGCCAAACAACATGCTGAGCGGTACGTAAAAATTAAAGTATTCATCACGTATTATTAATCTTTTCACGATCTAATCAAACACCGGACTCGGAAATCCGGCATTCTCCATATAATGTGCGAAGTCATTTGAATACGATGCATGGCCCTTCATAAGACTAGTTATTCCAACGTTTCTATTGCGATCGATCTCCGATATCAGAGTTCATATCGAATTTCGTCAAACATGAACGCAACTCAATTACATCCAAGCGTTGGCTGCTGATCTGCATTTTCTTCGTTTGACGTCAATCTTCCTTCGATGTTGAGAAAGCTTTCATGTGTATAAATCCTGCTGCTATATCGATATCTCATCGCTGTCCAAACGTGATGTTGACAGATTGTACATGTAAGTCTCAATCCTGACAATGCGAAAGATTAGCTCCCCTCCAATATTCAAGATGTCAACCATTTCAGATATTTAGTACGATAAAGCCTAATGATTGTAAAAATTTAACGTTTGATGCAGTGAGTTTCTTTCTATTAGATAATCGAATGTTTTTGATCTGTCGTCGCTCTGGTAAAAATGTCTCTAGTCTGCTTCACCTGCTCATTGAAAAGAAGCAAATCACTTTATCGTTGTCCCCTCCATATATACAATATAATAGTGACCTCCTCTCCGAAAAAATTGAGAAATCGTCCGTCTTGATCCACAACGCAAATCATCAGATCTGTAACGCTCCGTACGATAATTGATGGAAGGTAAATAATCTGTCGATCTTTCCGATATCTTATATCCTGGTGACATGCTCGGCGAAAATTTATATATCGTATGCACGGACTTATCATTGCTGTATGCGCCCCGGTCACATTGCATTCAATACGAATAATATTTATCGATACGTTTGATTCATGCCACTGTTGCAGCTCCAGCACGCGATTCGATGAAAATCTCACGACGATCCAATATTGTGTTTGAAATCGATTTACTCGATAAGCGCATTTGATCTCACTCTTCATTGTATTGTTATTGAATATTCAAGTCAATGTGACGAATGAATATTCTTCATCTTTACGAAGCGTTTTCTTATTCGCAACATCATTAGGATGAAATTGTAGAATTGGATGTTTTAGTCATTTGTTTATGTCACGTATTTCATATGATCCTTTGGGAATGATAATTTCTTTGTCATCTTCGTCAAAGTAAAATAACTTATTATTCGATGAATTTATATTAGATATAATAGATTTCAAAATCCATCAGACCGATCTCGTAATCACCATCGCTCAAATCTATGATCGAAAAGTAACAGGCCACGAGGACGCTACTCTTATCGGTGAGTGTAAATGTTAGTGACATGTTTGAATAAATACTGAATTGAAAGAGTGCAATGTCAATTCTTAAATTGATCGTCGACCGTCTGTAAAAATTGTAGACACAGTTGTCCACAGTTACTTTGATCGTAACGTTGATAAGATTTGCGATTATACTCGATTGCGTTACATCCAAATATCGCACCAATTCCTTCGGCGGAAGATTGCCGAAACTATCAAAGTAAACAACACGATCTCTCCCCGCTTCGCGTATGCCATCCAAAGAATACCTGGTCCATCAGCATTATCCAAATTTGATGCCGCCACGTTTTGCTATCGGTAGTATTCGTTTTTTCATCGGCTTTTTTTTCTTCGTTTTCCAATTTTCATTTTGGCTTTCATAGCCGCCCAAACAGCTGTGGCAGCAGATCTCTTCAAAAGTCGAATCTTTCGCAATAATCCGTTTTCGCATCTCCTCAGCGAATATTTTGTTAGTTACGTTCGTTTTGTGAGATCTTTGCTCCGTGAAGCTATGTCATGATCACGACACGCCGCGTCCAATGGATTAATGCCTCGATTATCTCTAGCCAATCACTTTTCTAAATGCGTACTTGGACCACAAAATTGATATCCGGAGATATGCTACTCAATTGGAAGTGCATTTATTGCATGGTTTAAAAAACCGCAGCTCTTTTTTGTTGACAATCATTACAATTTTTTATAAAATTGGCGCTGGACCATCGATATGCGACCGATAAAAGAGCAAATTATAATGTTTCAAGCACCGATGATGTTGCTGAAATCTCTGAATCAACCTTTATATGCTCGAGTAATCTATTCCACGGTTAATCTATGTAATTCTTAAACTCTCGTAGAAAAATAATTTTCCAATATATATATTCCAATTGGCAGTTAAATTATGTACATTACATCCGACACGATAAGAAGCACATTGCATATTGAGCGATTTCTTTGCGCTTCGCTTCTATAAATAGATCGGTTCTCGATCGTTTTTCAATTTCTTTTCAATCAGTTGTATTTCAATCAGTGTCATGAAGGGGAGAAGATATGAAATGCGTGTGACAATCGCAAACAATTAAAGTGACTAATGTCAACAATAAAGTACAAACTGAAAAAGGACATAAAAACGCAAACATGGAAATATGCTGCCGATCTCTATATTCGATGTCATCTGCAGTCCACCGAACTGCGGTAAAACAAATGTGTTGCTGGAAAGTCCACATGGCTTATGCCTTGAGAATGTGTATGTGTACTCGAAGTCGTTGCAACAACCAAAATATCGATATTTGAAAAATTTATTGGCACTGATTGAAGAAATTAGTTATTTCACATTTTCCAATAATAGCGATGTAGTTCTATCAAATGAGACGCTTCCAAATTTCATTTTTATCTTCGATGGTGTGGCATGTGACAAACAAGACGCGATCAGAGAGTATTTTGCGATGGGTCGTTACGCGGACGTCAATTGCTTCTATCTGTGTCAAACGTATGTAAAGATACCAAAACATCTCATACACGATAATGCAAATTTGTTGATCCTGTTCAAACAAAATGGTACCAACCTAAAACACGTATACAATGATGTAAACACCGACTGTCTTACGAGGATTTCTGCGAACCGCATCGTTGCTGTTGGCAACAAAAATATGGATTCGTAGTAATAGATAAAGACAGCATTTACGAATGAACGATACAGAAAAGGATTTAATGAGTTTGCAATACTTTAACGTGGTTAGTCGTTGTCGATATGTCAACTACGAAATGTCCTTCTTTCAAGTGCAACATGAATAACAGCAAAGAACTCAAGGATCGTGAGAGAATAGCGAAACAAATTGCACAAACGATTCGATTCGTAAAAAGTGTCATGCTTTAAAAACTGATTAAAAATAAAAGAAGACGTAGCGTTGGAGAAATATTTTAAACCCATCGTAGAACCTTTAAAATATGGTAGATTTCGAAAATAATGCTGACGAGAAATCTCAACCGATTAAGAAAAAAGCTAATGTTGCGAAGAATAGAAACTAAGAAAAGAAAACCAGAAGAAAATGAAAAAGACGATGATGATGATGATGATGATGATGATGATGATGATGATGATGATGATGATGATGATGATGATGATGATGATGATGATGATGATGATGATGATGATGATGATGATGATGATGATGATGATGATGATGATGATGATGATGATGATGATGATGATGATGATGATGATGATGATGATGATGATGATGATGATGATGATGATGATGATGATGATGATGATGATGATGATGATGATGATGATGATGATGATGATGATGATGATGATGATGATGATGATGATGATGATGATGATGATGATGATGATGATGATGATGATGATGATGATGATGATGATGATGATGATGATGATGATGATGATGATGATGATGATGATGATGATGATGATGATGATGATGATGATGATGATGATGATGATGATGATGATGATGATGATGATGATGATGATGATGATGATGATGATGATGATGATGATGATGATGATGATGATGATGATGATGATGATGATGATGATGATGATGATGATGATGATGATGATGATGATGATGATGATGATGATGATGATGATGATGATGATGGTGGTGGTGGCAATTTCTGAATGGATAATTCAGATAAC